ATATTAATTTAGATAAAGTAGAGTTTGGTGTGAACATAATATGGCCTAGCCCTGATCAAATGGAATAAGGATAATCTCATAACATTCAGGTTTATTAGAAAGTGCTGTTGGCCGGTGTCCTGGTATACTGGGATTTAAAAAAAAATCTCAGTAGTAGCACGGAGTCAGGAAATGTGCCAGGTATATGCCCAATAGGCTCACCCTCTATTACATGTGACTCAAAACATAAATAGTGAAAAGTGGGTGTTACTTCTATGTGCACCTCTTCCTACCCCTTCAGAGACAAAAAGCGTGATGTTATGTTATTTCTTTAGTAGGCTGTAATTGCACCCATGAGAAGTTTAGAAGTGGTAAATACATAATTATATTTTATTGCATTATGGCGTCACAACATTATTGAAAACGTAAAGAAAATATTGAAGAAGAAAATGACATTGGCCTTGAAGGCAGGAAAATATCACTTTCTTCTATATACCTAACTGTTGAGCTAACAATTAGGATTTTGATTACATTTAAGCACATATTTGTATTATAACTTCGTGAGACATACTAAATGAATTATTATGGTTTCGGCTTACTCACGTATATGAGCCTCTAGAATGGCTTGAAATTGAAACTAGTCGAGTTCCTCGTCAAATAATTACGTGAGTAAGCTGAAAACATAATAATTTATCAAGTACATATCATTGGACGTTTGTAATTTCTCTGTACTAATAATACAGATAGAATTACGTTAAATGTAAACATAACATTAAATGAAAGGATCAAAGTAATGTGAAATTAAAATAAAGTTTTACAGCTTGTCATAACATCGTAATAACAATTTTATTAATTCTCATTTGAAACATTAAAACGTAGAAGATTAAATTCAATTTTATTAATTGCGTCTTGCTTCGCATGTTATGTCGCGGTACAACTACAGTGCCGGGGGGTTTGTATTATGACTAACAAAGGAAGAATTTTAGCCGTTTTCGTATATTGCAATATTTTGTGGGATTTTCTTTGATTTATACTAATTAAAGTACAGGAGTTCCAGTAGGTCAAATTGTCCATTCTTTAAATTTTACATAACTGTATTTTTAATGCATTCAGCTAAAGTTGTAGCCCCTTCAGCCTGTAGTATAATTAAGGGACTCCATTTTTATTCTGAATTTATGATGTACATATATATTTATCTAGAGTAAACCAAAAACAAATTTTATACAATTACTAGCGGACCCGACAGACGTTGTATAGATAAATAATCTAGATACCGACTGCAGCGCCATCTGCCGATTTGTGAATCTACATCATCTAGGGTGCCACTCAAACGCATACAGAAAAAATCATTTAAATCGGTCAAGCCGTGTATGAGGAGTTTAATGACATACGCACGTATAGCAGAATTATATATAATATGAAGATGATATAAATCATTTACCCGATATGTAAAAACCAGTCAACTTTCCTACATCTATTTCACTTTTTATAGCCATTTCTTATTTAATTCTATCGTAAGTTTATTACGAAACCACAACGGAAGAACATAACATCCTATAATGGTAAAAACAAGTAAATAAATAAAAGACGGCTAGAAAACATAGTCCATTATGTAAACCGCTGACGTAAGACATTACTTATACATAAAGGTACCTATGTATGTGCGTATGACATTAATGTGTGTAAAGTCACATGTTAGGATGACTAGATTACGTTTTTTTTAAGGGGGGAAATCATCGAGTGACTGCTCCCACCTGGGTGAGGCGGAAGGGAGTGTCAGACTCTTACTGACTAAAAACCACCCCGTTCCTTCTCCTGCACGTCGAGCCGGAGCCCTGGTTACCCGTTAGGTTCTCCGCGACACTAGATTAGGTATTGACACATAATAAGTACCTTGATATTAGTCTTAAGTAGATAGGTAATCCATACTTTTTTGTTTGTGCTCGGTTCTTTGAGTACAATGAGAAATGGCTGGAAAATAAAATGTTCGTTGTTACTTCTGCACCGAATTGAATTAACATGTTCTTTGATGTTTAGTACCTAAATGACCTTCCCTGTGTTGTTTCATTAGTATTTTATTTTATTTTATTTTATTTATCAAGGACAACAAACAGCAGTATATTAAATATAACACGGGTGAGTAAAATAATAGATTTAACAAATACACTCCTCACGACGTTGCCACGGATTACCATAAATGTACTTAGCAAACACAATGGGGCAAACTTGAAGCTACAAACTATACAAACATAGGATAAATTTAAATTACAGAATTACTGAATTACTTTTTACCTGTACCTATCTATTATATATTTTTACCTACCTATATATTATAGACATATATTTTGTGCACTATATGAATGTGAAACACAAATAACATATTAAAAAAATAAAATTAAAAAGTAGTATAGTGACACTCTGTTATATTTAAGAATTGAATCATTGTATTGTAGAAATTAATGTAACGTTCTTTTAAAACGCTATAAAACATAACATCACACCTTTTATCCCCGAGTAACACCCACTTTTCACTATTTATATTATGAGTCCCATGTAATAGGGGGTGAGCCTATTGCTATATATAGGGCACATTTCCAGACTCCGTGCTACTATTGATTTTTTTTTATAAACCCAGTAATACTTTGCCCAACCCGGGAATCGAACCTGAGACCCCTTGCCCGGCAGTCGCACTTGCGACCACTCGGCCAACAAGGCAGTCAAAGTTTAAAACGCTACTGTATTAAAATTATAACACTACGCTAAAATATGTAGGAAAATCGTGGCGAAAAACTAGTTAATCCTTACTAATATTAAAAATCGGAAAGTGAGTTTGTTTGTTCCGCTTTCACGCCATAACTACTAAACCGATTGCTTTGAATTTTTGCAGACGTAAAGTTAGAAGTCCGGATTAAATAATAGGGTACTTTTATCCCGGAAAAAAATTTGATATTCCCGAGGGAAAACAAAAGTATTGGCATAGATGGCGCTGTGTGTATTGGTATATGTCACACAGGCTACTTTTTATCCTTTTGTGACGGGAGCGAAGAGCGAAGCCGCGGGTAAAAGCTAGTGATAAATAAACCGCAAGACGGCACGGACAACATAATAAATGTTTTTGCTAAGTAGAGAAATTTCTCGCTCATTTGCACGCTAAGTAAATGAATACTTGCATTTACAAAATGGATACCATTGACTCATGTTAAAGTTTAACATGCAAATAAATTGCAACCATGATCTCGGACTTTCTCTTAAATGTCTAATTTCTCTTTTTACTGCTACATACGTACTTCAGTTGCATTCTTGTTTTATTTTCTAATGCACCTGTGTAATAATTGCTGACGTATGTAAGTTTAGATTGTCGAGTGATAGGGTTCCGGTTTGATGACAGGGTGAAATTGGAATTGTTATTTTCGACATTTTTTCTTCCTATACTATGATTACCAATTAAAATAGAGAAGGTATTGTGTATGACCAGAACTGTAAACTGTCTACCTTGTCTTAAAACTACAAGGGTAATATCATGATCAATAAAACGTAAAAAAAATAACTTAAAATACCTAATAACTAGATAGAATTAGATAGCTAACCAGGTACTAATCTTTTTATTTTTTCAACACGTACTAATAAAACCCATAAATTAATCTATGGTAAAAACAAAACAAAATCAACAATATTTTACTAACAAAGTCCTTCAAAATGCATTTCAAATTCGATTGCTCTTCATATCCAGTCTACTTAGACCATATTTAGACCTCAAGGTGGTTGGGTCCATCGCCCACGTGTTAGGCACTAAATGGTAATAGGTACCTATGTATTTGCAATACTCGATACATAGCTAATGAAAATATATAAACCAATTTGTCTATGTAGTTCAAGGCGATTTACAAACTTGATTTGAATAGCTTTGCTTTGTTTAAGTTAGTTAAATTGTTGCGTATCTGCCTGCAACACCTGATGCTTTTTAAGTTATATTTTTACCTAAATTATGATTGTCAGCATTTTAAATCAAATATTAAACGATTACGTCTCAAGTAAACATGCTAAAAGTATCAAAATATTAATTACACAAACTTCTAAAAAGGAAGTTTAGGTTTATATAAATCACTTTGAAATAAATATCATATTTTACTAAATAGTGCAAAAATTACACCTTCACTATTTTTCATTGACTCATAGACATCCTAATCTATTCAATTACCCCTATTTCCTCGAAATTACATCACACAGATGACGTAACATCCACCCTTGTATTGCAAATAGTACTTTGCAGACGGTACAAGAAGGGTTTTCTAGAACGCACCACATACAAAAAGGTAGCAAGTACCTAGTGTCCTGATTGGCTGACTCACGGTTTGCACTCGTCTCGTGCGCCGGCGCAGCTATCTTTTGCACACGTTTTGTAATACTGTTTATTATAAATTCAGACGCGACTCGCTTATCAGTACCGTTACTACTCTGCTACCGATTACTCGTGTACTGACAGTAATATTCCAAACAAACAATTGCTTTTGTTTTGTTTCTTGTTTTTGTGGGGAAATTCTCTTTTGGAAAATGTAAGTTTTGATTTTCTTTTGTTTGTTATTGTTTTGTTTTATGTGCCCTCTTTGCCTTGAGGTTCTATATTGTCTCTTTGTTATCCTTTAGGTTATTTAGTTATGGTGGATATATTATTGGTATTCCTTATCAGTGCAACTGTTAATTAGTATAAATGTAAATATGTAAGTGTGTACTAATATTAGGTTCAATGTTCCAGTCTATTCATACGTGTAAGGACTTTCCTTAAGAATTAAAAAGGTTTTTAAAATATTTCAACTTTAATTAAATTTCTCGGTAGTAACCGGAGTGTTTGGAAACTATAATGAGATGTTTTGATGAATTAGAATCAATTCAGGTACTACCTACTACAATTTAATGGCTTCATTTAGTACCTTCTAATTTTCTACATTTCCATCCGTATAGAACTGCTACTCTACGAGGGTGACTGTGAAAATATATTTTTTTATTTCTTTTCAGAACCAACAATGCCTTGCTGCAAAGTTTCCGTCAAAAAATCCATGGTTTGCTCCATCAGCGATTGCATCTGCATTCCAACTGATGGGAAACCCTTCCTCTGCTTGAGCAAGGACGAGAACGGGAAGATAGTTCCCTGCTTCGACTGCAAGGCCGTCCAAGTGGACAACAACGAATGGAAGTGTGTTGATACTTCTTGCATCTGCCTCCCGACTGACGGGAAGTCTTGTCTGTGCATTTGCACCGACGAGGAAGATACCATCAAGTCCTGTGACGACTGCACTTGCATCAACGCCGAAGAATGCAAGAAGGAGTTCAAGAAATGCAACAAACCTGGGTGCGTCTGTCTTCCAACTGATGGTAAAGATACCATCTGTGTCTGCAAGAAGAATGGGAAGATCGTTCTGTGCGAATGCAATGGCGCCGGCACGTGTGGCAGCGCCACTTGTGTCTGCGTATCTACCGAAGGCGCCAAATGCGTGTGCCTCTGCTGCGACGCAAAAGGCAACATAAAGGTCTGCAAAGATTGTACCTGCGATTCTAAGAAGAAAGACTCTCTGATTTGCAACAAAGAAGGTTGTGTATGCATCATAACGGATGGGAAACCTTGCGTCTGTGTATGCAAGAATGGTGAGGGAATGATTGTGCGATGTGATGATTGTGAGTGTGATGGTTCTGGTAAGTGTGACAAGTCAGATTGTGTTTGTATTTCGACTGATGGTGAGAAGTGTGTTTGTGTGTGTTGCGATGATAAAGGTAATTTTAAGATTTGCAAAGATTGTTCTTGCGAAGCTAAGGAGAAGGAAGTCCTGAAGTGTAATAAGGCTGAGTGTGTTTGCATTTTGACTGATGGCAAGTCTTGCATCTGTGTATGCAAAAACAGCGAGGGAAAGATTGTTCGATGCGATGGTTGTAAGTGTGATGATTCTGGCAAGTGTGACAAGCCAGAATGTGCTTGCATCCCGACTGAGGGAGCCAAGTGCGTTTGTGTCTGCTGTGATGAGCAGGGTAACTTTAAGGTTTGCAAGGACTGTACTTGTGAATCTAAAGAGAAGGTTGTGCCTAAATGCAGCAAGGCTGAATGCGTTTGTATCTTGACTGATGGTAAATCTTGCATCTGTGTATGCAAGAACAGCGAAGGAAAGATCGTTCGCTGCGACGACTGCAAGTGTGATGGTTCTGGCAAGTGTGAGAAGCCAGAATGTGCTTGCATCCCGACTGAGGGAGCCAAGTGCGTTTGTGTCTGCTGTGATGAGAAGGGTAACTTTAAGGTTTGCAAGGACTGTACTTGTGAATCTAAAGAGAAGGTTGTGCCTAAATGCAGCAAGGCTGAGTGTGTTTGCATCTTGACTGATGGTAAATCTTGCATCTGTGTATGCAAGAACAGCGAGGGCAAGATTGTTCGATGCGATGACTGCAAGTGTGATGGTTCTGCTAAGTGTAACAAACCCGAATGTGCTTGCATTCCTACTGAAGGAGCTAAGTGCGTTTGTGTCTGCGGCGATGACAAAGGAAACTTCAAGGTTTGCAAGGATTGTACTTGTGAATCTAAAGAGAAGGTTGTGCCTAAATGCAGCAAGGCTGAATGCGTTTGCATCTTGACTGATGGTAAATCTTGCATCTGTGTATGCAAGAACAGCGAGGGAAAGATTGTTCGCTGCGATGATTGCAAGTGTGATGGTTCTGGCAAGTGTGACAAGCCAGAATGTGCTTGCATTCCTACTGAAGGAGCCAAGTGCGTGTGTGTCTGCTGCGATGACAAAGGCAACTTTAAGGTCTGCAAGGACTGTACTTGCGATGTTAAAGATGCTTCTATTCCCAAATGCAGCAAGGCCGAATGTGTTTGCATCTTGACTGATGGTAAGTCTTGTATCTGCGTTTGCAAGAATAGTGAAGGAAAGATTGTTCGATGCGATGACTGCAAGTGTGATGGTTCTGGTAAGTGTGACAAACCCGAATGTGCTTGCATTCCTACTGAAGGAGCCAAGTGCGTTTGTGTCTGCTGCGATAACAAAGGTAACTTTAAAGTCTGCAAGGACTGTACTTGCGATGTTAAAGATGCTTCTATTCTCAAATGCAGCAAGGCCGAATGTGTTTGCATCTTGACTGATGGCAAGTCTTGCATCTGTGTATGCAAGAATAGTGAGGGAAAGATTGTTCGATGCGATGACTGCAAGTGTGATGGTTCTGGCAAGTGTGACAAGCCAGAATGTGCTTGCATCCCGACTGAGGGAGCCAAGTGCGTGTGTGTCTGTTGTGACGAGAAAGGCAACTTTAAGGTCTGCAAGGACTGTACTTGCGATGTTAAAGATGCTTTTACTCCCAAATGCAGCAAGGCCGAATGCGTTTGCCTTTTGACTGATGGCAAGTCTTGCATCTGTGTATGCAAGAACAGCGAGGGAAAGATTGTTCGTTGTGACGACTGCAAGTGTGATGGTTCTGGCAACTGTGACAAGCCAGAATGTGCTTGCATCCCGACTGAGGGAGCTAAGTGCGTGTGTGTCTGTTGTGATGAGCAGGGTAACTTTAAGGTTTGCAAGGACTGTACTTGCGATGTTAAAGATGCTTTTACTCCCAAATGCAGCAAGGCCGAATGCGTTTGCCTTTTGACTGATGGCAAGTCTTGTATCTGCGTATGCAAGAACAGCGAGGGCAAGATTGTTCGATGCGATGACTGCAAGTGTGATAGTTCTGGCAAGTGTGACAAGCCAGAATGTGCTTGTATTCCTACAGAGGGAGCTAAATGCGTTTGTGTCTGTTGTGATGACAAAGGCAACTTTAAAGTCTGCAAGGACTGTACTTGTGAATCTAAAGAGAAGGTTGTGCCTAAATGCAGCAAGGCTGAGTGTGTTTGCATCTTGACTGATGGCAAGTCTTGCATCTGTGTATGCAAGAATAGTGAGGGAAAGATTGTTCGTTGTGACGAATGCAAGTGTGATGGTTCTGGCAAGTGTGACAAGCCAGAATGTGCTTGTATTTCTACTGAGGGAGCTAAATGCGTTTGTGTCTGTTGCGATGACAAAGGCAATTTTAAAGTATGCAAGAACTGTACTTGCGATGCCCAGGAGACGGTAGCTCCGAAATGCAACAATGCTAAATGCGTTTGCATCTTGACTGATGGCAAGTCTTGCATCTGTGTATGCAAGAACAGCGAGGGAAAAATTGTTCGATGCGATGACTGCAAGTGTGATGGTTCTGGCAAGTGTGACAAGCCAGAATGTGCTTGCATCCCGACTCAGGGAGCCAAATGCATTTGCGTCTGTTGTGATGAGAAGGGTAACTTTAAGGTTTGCAAGGATTGCACTTGTGGAAAACTAACTGTCTGCAAGGACTGTGCTTGCTGTGACAAAGATTGTGTCTGTTTCTTGACACAGGGAAAACCTGTCATTCGTGTATGCAAGAAAGATGTAAAATTAACAGTATGCAAGGATTTTCTGAATGATGAAGCTTGCAAGTGTGAGGAGTGCTGCGTGTTGATTGGCACTCATGGAAAGAAATGCGTGTGTGTGTATAAGGATGAAAATAATTGTATCGTTGTGTGCGACAAATGTGACTGCGCATAATCACTATTGTAAAACATTCATATGTTTGATGATAATATTATCACTATGGTTACGTTTGTATTTTTAGATAATCCATGATAAGATTGTGTTGTTTTTTTTATAATTTTTACTCTGGTGATGGGTGTAGGTGTGGGGCATTTAAAATATGATTGTATACTTTTTTATAATTTTTAATCTTTGTTTTGATATATGTGTTTGACTTTTTTTGGAACTTTGGTAATCTTTTCTATTCATTAAATAAAAAAATAATAAAAAAATAACCGTTTTATTATTTATCGTATCGTTCTTATTATTTCATGTTTATCATTCTCAAATAAATTTCTACCAGTAGTAAAAATTAGCAGACGTAAAATACTAAATACTAGAAATCTTAAGACCAATAATTTATAACACCTTTGACCTTTTTATATGGAATTAAATAAATATACCGTTGCACAACTGTAAAAACATAAATCAAACATCAACGAAATTATCCTCAGTGTGCCTAGCACGAATAACTATCGCATTCGTAACGTAATAGTATCGAGACATCGAAACGTCATGTGACGAAAACGGAATGTGGCAGCACGAAGCCTATCGTAACGTCTTTCGAGAGCTCGAATCAAATTCGTTAGTGACGTCATACTAATGTAAAATAGAGAAGCACCAAAGTGAACGAATTGAATGACTTAAGAATACGTCTGAAAACTAAACCATTTTTTAAATATTTTTCTATCTTTCTCTGCACGATTAAGGCTTTGATAATTTGTTAAGATATATTGGTTAAGCAAAAAAGGTCAAGAACAGAGTTTACGGGTACGTAAAGTGACATAATCGTATTATTACAACCAAAAAAGGTACTAGTTAGTTTTGTAATTTCATAAAATATTTTACAATTTCCGAACGTCGTGTTTGACAGAGGTCAAATGCCACTATGTCAAGTTATTTGTTTGTTTAAACTTTTACTATGATTTCTATTTTAATTAATATAAAAGAACTCAATTCTAAAGCAAAATAAGGGAGGACTTAATGGAAAGTATCGTAAGTAAAAATTTCAACATAAAATACGCGCGAAAAACAATATAAAAGTATTGTTTTTCGTAGTCGGGTTATTATTGTTTTGAATAGTTTCTCTTCATTGTGTTTGACCTAATATGCATTGTAATGTCTATTCCAGGATTCCAGGAGCTTGTCTAAGCCATCTTTTCGACACCATAAACCACTTCTTTTCCATTAGAGAATGGAAAAACCAGCAAAAAAGACTAAACTTGAACTGACGAAAATTGTTCTTGCAACTTGATAATAAAACAAGTGATGATGCTAGGAAGTGTGAGAGAAGATAATGAAATATACCTAATAGTGCTGACGTGGTGCTCCTTTCGTCATGTGGAATACAATGAGACAAATAAACATGCTTATATTATTAGATTTTATTTTTTTCTTGAATCTCTTTGTACCTCTACAATAAAATTTGTCTTTATATACATACAGTCTATCTCATTGGAAATATAGTTACATATTGACAGAATATTTGCTAAAATTAAATTATATTGATTTGTGATAAAGTGATGTCTTGAAACTAAAGTTGCATAAACCTAGTTCAAGCAAATCGCTACAAATATTAGTACATGTCCTTTGTTTTCTATGTCAATACTTTTAAGCAAAATAATATATTGTTATTATAATTAATAATCAATCATAATTAAACATCAATATTGTAAATTGCAAAACTAACAATACATTTGTAAAATATAATTGTAAGTGGAGTCTTATGAAATAAATTATTCTTATTCTAATAAAGTATTGAGTATTGAATCTACTTATTCTGTCTTCTAACACATTCCTTTTATCCTACCCTGCATAATGCATGTTCAAAGAAAGAGAAGTATATGAGATAATTATCTAGCGATTGTGGTTTGGGCACATTGAAAATATATCTCCTCTATCTATCCTATCCTATATAATGTACGTTGAAAGAAAGATAAGTATATGAGGCATATAAAAGTTTATAGTGCTTATGGTTTGGGCATATCAAAATATAAGGCTAAAATTTGTAACACAACTAAGCTGTTATTGCTTTTAGAACAATTTTCGGTGACACAGTGGAGTATGCTCCTTGCACAAGGAACACCATCGGTTTTTCATCGTCCAAAAGTTTTGTCAATAGTTATCCATCTACGACGACCAACATAACAACAAGTGGCATTCTCCGCATCATTATTGCCATGTTTCCCGAAAACATTGATGTTGATGAATTATTTCATACGTACACTGCTTGTTTTGGTTCATTTTAATTTATAATTGTCATAAAATCTTAATTTTAAAATGTTTCGAAACCTTTCTCACCGGCAAATTCTAAGTGACAAATGTTTTGACAGTTTTCGATAGCCAGCCTTCGAAATTTACGTTACCGTTTGTCAAAAGATCGTTCGTGCTTCCAATTTGTGTCAAAATGTTCTAAGTTTCGATAGCAACACGATACGATTAGTATACGATAGTTGTGAAAATCATTCGTGCTTGCGGCATTTAGTTCCTTTTACGCACGGTAGGGGCGCTGTACAAATCCCATAGAAAATGCTTTCGATGTCGATACGAATACTTTCTCGATAGTTTTCGTGCTAGCCACACTGTTCTTTTAACGGACGGGTTGTGTCAATTAAAATGACGTTTGATAGAACCTAGTACCTGTTTAGATAAGTGTAATAAACTGTTTAGATAAGTTGATACAGACGAAAATCGTAATGATATATAACATATCTACATAATTAAATTTCTATATGTTTATAAAAAAAGACTTAAAACTATCTTTTTTTGAAGTCAGTCAATGTTCACTAAACCTGCTCTTAAGTGTATCAGACACTATTTTGAAAACCACATCATAATCGGTTCAGGCAATTACAAGATAATTGCGGACAAACATATGTACACACATAGGTACAGGTCCAACTAAAAATGCTTCGATTATCATATATCATACCGATGCTCGTCGCTTCTGTCAGAACGGTAGAGACCTGGCGTCGCATCTTCCTCGGCTAGCCTTTTTTATGAGGGAGGACAATCATCTATTGACACCTTAGTGTCTGATTTTAATTTAAGCTGGGGTTGACTTGATCCAGATCTTTTTTCAATCATTATGGTCGACATCGAGTTAGAAATTGTGATAAAAATGAACCTGAATCTGTTAAAGTAAGATAAAATGTCATGACTTCTTGAGTCGATGCTTGGCAGGCATAGGATGACTGGAGATCGCAGTTAAAAAAGGTTTAGGTTTATTAGAGACAGCTGCTACTGGTGCTACTCAGTCTCCGTTAAATGCTAAAGTCGAAGCCCCATTTTTGGTCTAATTCATAATGAAGAATGTTTCGATACCTGTTATGGGGAAATCTAGTTGCAAAAAAGAAAATAGCTCGATACTTTAATTCGTTACTATATTCGCAAGTGTTGTATAAACAACAAATATCTAGACCTTCTTTCTCAATATACGGCCTATAACCTGATTTTTTTTAAAGTTCACACATACTGCCGCTTGCGCATACGATTTGTTTATAAATAATTGCATCGCGTGATCATTACTGTTATTATGGCGTAAGATAGCGGTGTCGCGTCAATTGTTCGATTCAATAGTTTTTTTCGAACGGTGTTGCATTGGTTTCGGAGATACCCGATTAGTTTCGAAGTTAAACGGAGTTGAGTTTAGATGATGAAAAATTATACATTTATCATCAACTCTATTCCTCTCGCAGGTTGTCGTAAGAGCCGTCTAAGGGCTTACACGTTATCATGAACAGCTTATGAGTGGCCACTGCTGAACAAAGGCTTCTTTCGTACAGATAAGGTTTGAGCATTAATCACCACGCTTGCTTAATGGGAATTGGGATGATGACAGAGTATGAAAATTAAAAATCTAATTAGTCCGTAAGTTAGGTAATGAAAAAATATTAGACACGTATTTTTTTATTTTGTCGTATAATAAAACAATACTTAGATAAAACGAATGTGTTGTATGTGCAATGTTTAGGAGTGGGGGCTAAAACGTCATTTCTACGTATAAAATGTACATAGAAGTACACGACATTTCAAATAATAATAATAATAATAAGCCCGCAGGGCACCTTGAGGCGAGGTGACGGGCATTAGCGATCCCGCGGGCTACCATCATCCCGAGTGCTCCAGGGAGAAGTCACCGTTCCTTCTTCTCCGGCTTGCCTTAATTGGCTGGCTGGAGTGAAAGATGACAAGGAACAGGTCTCCCACCTCTGGCTTGCCTTCATTGGCCGTCCAGAGTGGAGTCGCGAGAGCAGTGAACCTGCTCGGAGGGTAAGAAACTATTCGTAAGTCGCGAGTGGGCCAGGGATGCAGGAGGCTTCGGCTGGAGCAGATGATCTGAGTAGAAAGCGGTGGTAGTTTCTTAACCCTTCAGCCACTCACATTCTCGTTGCCCCTCTGTTGCTATATCTAGCAGCCATTCCCGGGGCCCGGTCGGTGAGTTGGCGAGTCTCCGCCTGCCATTTTTACGTGTAATAATTACATTGTTTCGGCAGGTGCCATAGTCATCCATAGTTCCCAATTTTCCAGTCCACAGCAACCCATCCATAGCCCTATTTTTTTTTCCATTATCCTCAATAGTTTTACACTAACCGGAGACTGTCCTTGGGTGCATTTCCATAGTGCATACAGGGATAGTCGCCGGTTTGTGTGTCCATTACATTTATATTAAAGTTGTCTAAAGGGCCTCTGCGCAGTTGGCTTCGGCCCCTCGTACGCCTTCCAAATGACCGGGACCCTGTGGTCCCGTGAATGGTAAAGACATACATAATAATAATAATAATAAGCCCCCTCAATTCCAACCTTACGTCCAAGCTGAACACCTAGCTTACGTGGGGGGCGGACACGCGTACTGTACCACTGTACAGTAATAAAAACTTACGCGGCTAACAAGGCAAGGGTAACCCAACATGGAGAGATGAGTAAAAGAGAATATAATTTGCGGCCGCTTCCCGGGGGTCGCCGGGGCGCATCTG